GAATTGGAAAACGGGCCAGAAGGACCAACTGATATGCTTGCAGCGTCCACGCGTCTATGTAAAACCAAAACGGAGAACACCTTTGTTTTTCGCGCCTTTTGCTCGTTGCTCATAAACTGCAACAAGCACACAATATAAATTTCTACAAAAATAGAAAAAAATCAGCCACACCCAAGTACACAAATTTACATTGTTCTTTTTTTTTTATAAGACAACGGGGATAGTTGTAACGGTGTTCGATTGCAACCGAGTTTAATTTTCTTATTTGTTTCTTTTATTTACAGATTTTTTTAAAAAGATTTTTCCTCTCTAAACAACAACTGCGGTCCTGTACATATTGGTTTGGGAAACGCTGATGCTAACTTTCTGTGACATTATAATTTTCTTTTGGTAATTCATTTTTTCTTCTTTTTCGTATTCTTCCTTGTTTAATTTCAAAAAGAAAAAAAAAGAAGGAGAAAATTAAAGAGAAGAAAGCTTTTGAAGAGAATCTTGAGTGCCCTATGTTCTATACGGTAAGGTTCTACTTTGTAACATAAATGGAATATTTTCATTTAAAAATTATTGTAAATTTTGAAAATCGACAAGAAAGCTTTTCAGGCAACGTGATTGGAAAGCATGTTGCAAAGTGGGGGCGTGACCATTTCGGTTAACCCTATTCTAAATATTTTTAACTAAATATTAGATGTCCTCTAAACGGCAAAGGTACAGTTTCTCTTGCCCATAAATGTGTTTAGAAACACATCTATCCGCTCCATTTCCTCTGTCGGATTGTCCTTTCAATTTTGAAAATATACTTCTGGACTTTAGATGACCTTTATTATTATCTATCTCTACCGAGTTTTAGATCAATCTTTCCCATGATTTTTAAGAGAGAGAAAGGGTGAGAAGTTTCTATTGATGGTGGAAGGAATTTGCATTTGCCATTCAAGGGAATCCATCTTACGGTAGCTGAAATAACAGTTGAATGCACGGCTGGATGAGGAATTCCTTTTGAGTTTCTCATCAAAGGTTTGTACACTTAATGTTTGTTTCCAATTGCTGCAAATGGAATGAGAAACTTAGCATAGTTTCCTGTGCTTAGGGGCACACACAAAAAAGTAAATGTTTGTTTATTATGGCGTCATTTGTTTATTTGCAGTCATTCTGGTGTTGCTTGTTTCAGTCGTGATGAAAAATCTCCCCTAAACCAACTCTAAGTAAAAATGTGTTTATAATGAAAACATAAACAGTAAGAGCATTTCTCCTAATGATAATGTCGATGATTTTATCGACAAAGCTTTGTAAACATAAAAAATGAAGTCATAAATCTATGAACAAGTAAGGTAAACTGTCCTATGGCTTTCATCTTTTTTTTTGTTTTTAATTAATATTTAATCATCTTTAATTCTTTAGTCGATTTCAAAAAGTTGCTGAAATTAGGAAAAGATAGAAAGACAGAGAAGGAAAGAAGTAAACTGGGAGGGAGAGAGAGAAAGAGAGACAGAAAAAAAAGATCGCCAGGCAACATAGTTGAGTGGAAAAGAATGGCGGAGAAAACACGTGAGCGGCAGTGGCAGGGTAACAGAGCAACTTACTAAAATTTTGCAAGATGGGTTGAAAAGTACCGAAATTAACGAGGCGAAACAAGTACAATATACAAACGTAAGACAGAGAGAGAGAGAGAGAGATAGGGAGAACGTCTTATGATAGTCTTGGGGTAAGAAATGCAAAGAACAAATAAATGCGAGGAACAACTACAATATATAAAAGTGAGGAAGAGAGAGAGAGAGAGAGAGAGAGAGAAATAGATAGAGAATAATATGAGAATAATGATCTTGGAGGAGGAAATGCAAAGAGAAAATAAATGCCAGGAACAACTACAATGCATAAGAATGAATGAGAGAGAGCGAAAGAGAGAGAGAAGATAAGAATGATCGTCTCCTGGGAAGAAATGCAAGGAGCAAATAGATGGCGAACAGCTAGTAAGAAAAGTGGCCTTGAATACGGAGCAAGACAGAAAGGAAGTCAAGTGATGAAAGCAATAAGCAAAAGGAAAAAGATAACAGAATTAAAAAGAGGAGGACCTCGAGCTGGCAAATCGATATAAGAAGTAAGACGAGGGGAGCCTTGAGTGCGCGAAAGGAAAGAGATGTAAGAAATAAGAAGAGGAGAATCTTGTGTGCGCAAAAGAAAAGAGATATAAGTAAGAAGAAGGGGGCCTTGAGGGTGCAAATTTCTTTCATATATCAATAGGTATTTTTTATGGGAGATTACAACCTTAGCCTCTTTTAGATGTTTTCCAGGTATAAGTAAAAAAATTTTGCAGAAATCAACTTTGGTATTTTTAATCTGCGGGTGGCACTGGGGTACTTTTACTTATTTAATTATTTACTTGTAGTTTATAGCCTATGTGAGATTAGACGTAGACTAAACTTTTGATTTTAAATACAATTGCTATATATGAATTTTCTTACTCGAAGTCTTAAACCTATTCAGCTATATTGCTCTATTGTCAGTAGACTAAAATAGTTCAGATCATTTATAGCCTCTCTATTAGTTATTTCATAGTAAGAGACACATCATTTTAGCTCTAATTGGAAATCTTTTCGAAAGCTCCATTTTGACATTAACTAACTCTCTTTCTAGACCATAAGTATTCCATATCAAAGAAAAGAATTTGAGAATGTGAACACGAAATTAGAAACTCATAAGCAGTTGAGTAGGTAAGACTACTTTCTTGGTTGTGGACTACTTGGCTGTTTGAATTTATTTAGATTTCTTCTTCTTCTTCTTCTAAAATTCCGCAAACCACCGACATATGATTCACGGTTGTGGCGTTATTTTTACTTTTGAAAACCACTGTTGATTCATTTATATCGCACTTACGTAAGTCAGGTAAAGCGAGTCGTTTCTATATACGAATTATCTACGTTCTGGAACACTACTTTCTATGTTCTGGTTTAATAGCAAGCAAAATGGACTCCTTCCTGCTTAGTACGAGAATGAAAGTCAGTGGGGATTTAGATCACAACTTACGAATAATAAATTGTGAAAACTTTCAATGTGGAGAGAAAACAGCTGTTGGGTATACAACAAAATGGGACTTGGTAACATCGCTCCTAAAAAAAATGATTTGCACTGCGGAAGAAAGAACGAAAAGTTTTTAATTTTGCCTTGGGTGTACAAATTTCCTTCATCTGTCAATAGGTGGCTCTTCTATGGGATATTAAAGTCTGCAATCAATGCGTCTCTGCAAAACTCTGTCTGCAAATTTTTCAAAATCGTAGAGATTGGTTTACTTGTGGTACACGTTTGGCGTTGGGATTCTCTTGCCGATATATTTTGATGATTTTAAGTATGAAAATGGGTTAACCTTTTAGTAGGCTTTTTTTTTTGGCACAGAAGATAACAATCTATGGTCAATGACTCTCATAATTTTTTTGAGTTGAAAAGTGAAAAATTTTGTATTTTACGATTTGTTGAATTGATTTCGGTATTTGAGATTTTCTTGCCGATATATTTTTATTTATTTAGATTACATCATCCGAAAGAAAATTTGGCATTGTGTTCACGTAGCTAAAAGTTAAGTATTCAACTATTCTTGCTCAACGGCTGAAAACGAAACTTAATTTTCTCAAACGTTGCTAACCCTAGATCCCAGTTTAGGACATGTAAATTCGTAAATCTCTGGGTATGTGGAGAAAATAACTGTTTCCCATGCAGTTGGTAACATTGTTCATGATGAAATCTATTTGCATTGGATCAGAAGAGACGAAAGTCATTGATTTTGCCGGCAGGAAGAAGTCAAGTAAGCTAATTTTAGTTTTTTTTTTATTTTTTTTTTTTTTGTTTCTTAACATTTTTCGTTAGCGAATAACGACGAGAAGAAAATAATTTACTGAATATAAAAAGTGGCTGAACTGATTAGAATTTTGTAAGAGAGTAAAAATATCGCTACATTTGGAAAAAAAAGTTTAATTGAGGTTAGAAAGAAAACCGTTTCAAGTTTTAGAAAAAAGAAGGAAAAAGTTATTAAAATAGATGTATATATATATATATATATATGTATATATATATATAAATGCATGAATCTCGGAAGAAGAAGCGCATGGTTGTAACAATACGATCCGGCGGTGAGGTCGTCTTCTTTTGAGTTTCTCTCTTCCAGCGAATTGTGGTGGAAGACCCACTAAGATGCACAAAAATGTATATCAATTTGAAACGCGATTGTGTCTGTCTACATGCAAAGGTTTAACAATCAAAAGGAAAAAAGTTTCTCCTTCGGTTATTCGATCCTAGTGATCGAAATAATGGGAATTTTATATATGGTACACAAGTGCTCAAGTTAGGGTCTACAAGTTAAACTTGAATACTGTTATGATCGCACAAGTGTGCGAATAAAGAGAGTGATGGCAGACAAGTCCGAATTCATTGGAATTAAATTCCATTCAATTGGACTTAGTAATGATTTTGATCCTTCTATTGGCAATTTCCCTGTATTTGAAATTTCAATTTATATATAAAATAACTAAGGTATTTGCGTTTTGGTATTTTTCGAAAGTCCTTTCGGTAATTCCTAAGGCATAGTAGTTAAGCAACTTTCAAAATATTCGATAAACGCATCTAAAATTAATTACGTAATTATTAATTAAAATGATTTCCTTGTCTAGAAACCGACGTAAGTTTGCAGAACCCGCTCCATAATTATTTACGGTTATTAGCTGACACAAGCAGACAAGAAACGAAAATGTAAGTAGAAATTTTATTTCAATGGTCAGATACATATATCCAGGAGCAGTAATTGGGGCCGTAGCATTCAGTTTTCTTAAGCGGCAAATTTTCGTATGCCGACATCGTATATGAATCGGGTTCAATGTGATCTATTATAACAAGGGCCTTCATTCAATTGAATTTGTCAAATTTTTTTGAGATCATGAATTCCCATTTAATCTTAAGTTCCATCTATCTACGATTGTGAAGAAGAAATGTGTTTGATTTAGTGTTGTATGGGTTAGTATATGCTGCTTAAGCTACCTGTAAAAGTCCAGTAGCTCTTCAATTGAGGCATAATTATAATGCATATATTCGCATGCGTAATACTTGATCTAAAATTGATCCCAGTCTAAAATATTTCATCCTTCATTTGGAAACTCCAGTAATATGGCCGCCAAAAGTACAGATATAGTCGTACCAGTCGTTGAGGAAAATTGCAAGATGAATGATTATAATAATACTTTCATGGGCGCTTTAAGTAAGCTGCGCGATGAAAAAGAGGTAAGCGTGAAACTATTTCATTGAACATCTGACAAAAATTAATACATAACGAATTAATTTCCAAGTATTGCGACTTTTTATTGCAAGTAGGAGGTGAAACTATACATGTCCATAGAGCTGCACTGGCGATTAGTTCCCCGTATTTCAAAGCCTTGCTTAAGAGTAAGTAGATGGCCGGAACTGTTCAACGACGATTGAATGAATGCCTTTCCTTAATCGCTTTCCAAATTTTCTAGGCAACATGAAAGAGAATCAATTGGGATCGGTTACATTCGAGGACAAAGATGTAAATGCTGTAAAGGCCATCATTGGATTTATCTATAGCGGCCAAATTACGTTAACCGAAGAAAATGTTCAAGCGATTTATTTGACTTCCGACTACTTTCAGATGGAATGGCTAAAAAAGCGATGCGTGGAATTTCTGAAACGCCATTTGAGGGGAGCGAATTGTATACAGATTCGAAGTTTTGCAGGTAAGAGCATAAATTCGTAAATATAAGCTCAGAATGTACTTGTGTGTCTGTCGTCTTCTAGATAAGTTATCTTTCAAAGAACTTTATGATTGCTCTCATAAGTATATATTAAATAACTTTGATATGTTGATTGATAATAAGGAATTATTGCTGCTATCATTTGAAGAGGTAAGTAATCAACCAACTTGATTAAGAAAGTTAAAGAGACAGCAGCTCAACACAACAATTTTGATACAGTTTGTTCATAATACTAGCAAATTAAACAAAAATTTTTTGTAACTTTACCTTAACATCATCTCTAATTATATAGTCATAATATTGTGACCAAAAAGTGAGACCAATATTCATTTTAAATTGCATAGGTAGGTTTATTAAAAATCAGATATATATTTTTTTTTACACGGTTAGCACTATGACATCTGTGTAAAATTTCACATCATAAACGTCATTAGTGTTAGTGAAATTTCTTACGGAGAAACGTATAAAATGTTGCAGACATAAGTCTTTTGTTGGTATACCTACATCATCAGCTTCTAAATATATAGGAAGTAAACAAATGAAATGCATTATCCAGGTCGTGTAATTTCAAAATATATTTTTCAGATCCTCGGGCTGATAAAAGATGACCAGCTTTCAGTCAAACTTGAAGAAAATGCATACATAGCCGCAATTAATTGGATCAAATACAACGTAGAAGACCGAAAGGCTCATCTCACCGAGTTAATGAGTCACATTCGGTTACGTTTCGTTCGCACTCGATTCTTGACGAAATATATTATGAAAGAATCTCTACTTGAAAGAAATTTGCAATGCAAGGATTTTATAATAGAAGCTTTAAGTTATCAGGCAATGCTAAAAGATTGTTTGTCTGAAAACTCTCAGTCTGAAGAGATCCGTACATCTCAGATCAACATACCCAAAAAAAAAAAAATAAAAATAAAAAAGATCGCTGCAAATCGGAACGCAAGGTTTTACATATTGTTCACTGGTGGTCGGATGGATATTACGTCTAAAACAGCGGTTTGTTGTTCCCAAGTTTATGACGTAACTAATGACAGATTAGTTTCGATCCCTAAGATGCAGTCTGCAAGATGGGGACATTCTGTAATATCTTTAAATGGTTTTTCGTATTCGGTAGGTGGTGTATGTAAAATGGCGGGTGAAAATCTGAATACTGCAGAATATTACAATCCTTTTACTAAACGATGGAGTTGCATCGCAAACATGAACTATGCGCGTAAAAATTTTGGTATTTGTGCTTACAAGGATTGCATTTATGTTATGGGCGGTTGTGGAACGTCTCTCTCTACTGAAATTTTTAATCCTTCAACCGACCGATGGTACGCGCAGACAACTGACAATACAATAAATTACAACTTTTGCAATCGCATAGCATTGATCGAAAATAGTATTTACACTTTAGGTTATAAATTTGATGGCATTATTACTTGTACGCGTTTTGATCCAAGAGATGGGAGATTTTATAAATTGTATAATGTGGGAGGAGAAAATATGGAAACATTTGAGGTTTTCTCTAGTGATCACTCATTATATTGCATTCAAAACAACTACTTCGTTCGTCTCGACGTACGAATTAATAAATGGGAGAGAATGCCTTTGATGCCTCGCGAAAGAAGTAATTTTTCAGCGATTATGCTGGAAGACAATATTTATGTGTTTGGCGGCATGACAATAAAATCCAATCATGATGATAGTGTGAGTTGCTATAATGTCCTTGATAAGAAATGGACAGAAAGTGATTTAATAGGACCTAGAGTTGTTGATGCGTCGGCTGGAGTATTTAGTGTTAATTTTGATATAAATTAAATATTATTTACTTTCTTCAATTTTCTCAATATTTTGCACATGCTCTAGTACTTCATCATTGGAAGAAACTAATAAATATTGTAAATGTATTGCTTTAATACACGTAGACAGAATCAATTTATTTTAATTTGCCTGAGTATTATTTTCTTTCAACGCTTTTAACCTTGAACAATTTACAAATGATCTTAAAAGCAAGTAAGTATAAAAACGGGTCTGAAAATTTTGTGAGTGTTCTCACGAAAGCGATGCACATTTGTAAATCTTTGCTACAATCCCCGCAAGAAATGTCTTTCAAATATTCAAGAGTACCAATGGCGGTCCCTGAAGAATCCTAGAGATGAACTGTTTACTGGCATTTTTTTTTTCTCACTTTAAATGAAAGATTGAATTACTTATCCTATTCTTACGCAAATTTCCAGTTATTGGAATATTACACAGGTAACGATATTATTTATTAATTTATTTTGGCCCAAGGAAATTCAGCCACACATACAATATGGATAGGAAAATTATATTCGGCCGGGACCGAATTTTTTACACTCATCACTGGTATTCTAATAAAAAAAAGACAAAGTAAAAGAACCAAATTTTCATGCTCTATAGTATGGAGTGGGCGCGGCTGATTTTTTCTATCTTGAAAATAAAAGCTTTTATCGTTTGGGCGTGTTGGCGTTCTAGGCGCGTTTTTTGAAAACTTTTGGGTGACTGCTAAGCTCTATTGCAAATTTTTAGGCGATAGCTTCATTTCCGCTAACGGGCGAATGCTTGCTACACGTACTATGAAGTTGGGTCGACGGACATGCATAGATGCATTCCGGATTTGAAACTGACCAAGAGTTTATAAACCTTAAAAGGGGGTTTTGCAGTTTGCTTTTGTGCATTATAAAGGCTTTGAATTATAAACGCACTATAAAGTTGAGTAGGCATGGCCGATTTACTCGATGTAGGCAGACTACAACAACATCGCCCATAGAATAATCGATCAAATTTTAAAGGTAATTCGAACTCCTCCTCTCCCCCTGCCCTCGTGGTTTTTGCATACATTCGCGCGAAAGTTAATACGCATTCGCCGCACTTACCACACATCGTGTAGCGTATAACAATTACTTTTAGAAATTTTTAATTTCGAGTAAAAAAAGACATAAAACAAATAAGTAAATATTTGTGCACATGGGTAAGTAATTTAACCTTGTAGCTATCATAAAACCATTAAATGCATATTGAATTTCAAATAGATGTCTGTTACTTCTGTTACATATGACATATACAACAGGCAATAAATCTCAGTCGCAATCAATCAATTATTCAGAAATTGAATGAAATCTTAACAAAAGGGGAAAAATGACAAATCACTTATACAATAAATAAATAACTAACATCAGGTAAAAGGAAAAGTTTAACAATAGCAAATGTTTACCTTGGATGTATGTGAGATTTCAATCTCATATATTTGTGCATGTGTGTGAGTACAAAATTTCAAGAAACATTTCGCTTATGTTGCTACTAATAACGCTTTCTTTGATAAGGGCTTCCATCAAAAGTGTAAGATAGAAAATTTAAAGTAGAAGAAGGAGAGAGACGAAGTCTGTAGAGGGGAGAAAGTTGTGGGTATTAAGAGTAGCGTTTGTTGTTACACGGATCACTGAATGAGCTTTGAAGCTTCAGCAATCCTACAGAGTATACAATCTTTATCAGCATTCATTCTGGATTGATGTCCGTCTGTCCGTCTGGGTAAGATCTGTTCTAAATATTCTCGTTGTCGCAAGCTATCAATTTCAAATTTGCCAGAAACATTGGAAGTTCTGGGATATAGATTGGTATTGAAAATGGGCCAAATTGATCGAACGACACGCCCACAATACCTCGTAAATCGACCACATCTCCGCTTTTTTGAAAGGAATAAAATATTGGTTCGTTGCACATTATTTCTGAACTACAGCTGATAAAGAATCAAAAATTTGAAAGCACATTTTATAGATGATGCTGTAGTACCTGCATAAGAACGGAAAAAATTGACCAGGACCAGGCCTAACCAATACAATAGTGTATCATATTTAATCTTTTTTTTTCAATACTTTTATAACGCGCAGAAAGAAGTTCCAAAAACCCCATAAACTGTAAAAATTTTTAGCCACTTTCAAATTTGGAATGCTTCTAAACATGTCCGTCTCTACGACTGTCTATATGCCCGTATGCTCAAGCATGTAGTACCTGTAGTAGATCTAACGTTAACGAAAATGAAGCGACCCAAACTTTTCAAAGGACACACCTACAACGCCCACGCGCCCATGCTACAAAGAATTTATTTTGAAAATAGGAAGAATCAGTCGCGCCATCTCTTTAGTATAGAGCACGAAAATTTAGTTTGTTTACCTTTGTTTGTCTTTTAGGACAGCGGTGATGGGTATAAAATATTCGGTCACTACCGAATATAATTTGTTACTTTTTTTTCTCGATAATTTGTAATGATTTATTTTTTCTTCTTCTTTCAATTTCTCTTTATATTTTCGAAATTTTTTGATTCCAAGTCGAGCGTCTAAGTCCATCTGGATGTTACGTACGCCATACAAACTTAATATACCTTATATCAAAAGCGGTGTAGGCTATGAAGGGTGTTCTGGTTATTTTGTCAGTGAGTAAAGTACGACAGAATTTATTATAATTCTTTCCGTAACGGCTATTGGGCCAACTTTTTCATCTCATCACTTACACATTGTAGGTTTGCCGCACCGTTCAAGTAAATATTAAACCTTATAAGTGAAAAGCATTGCCCTATATACTCAGCGAGCGTCTTTTAGACTAACTGAAGGCCATTGTATGTATATGGGGAACTTATTGCGTGGGCAAGGGAGAAATCGTTACAGAGATTTAATGGCAGCTGTTCATTCGCTCATTCATTCATTCATATTAGACATGCGGCCGGTGCGTGAGTGGTGCATAGTCCATGCAGGCGGTGCTTAGCCGATGAATAGCCCATACGACCGCTGCATAGGTGATGTACTGTCCATGCAGGTGGCGTTTAGGCGGTGCTTAGCCCAAGCAGGCGGTGCATAGGCAGTGCACAGACCACGCATAAATGGTGCAAAGGCGATGCATAACCTACGCGGCCTGTGCATAAGTGGAACATGCACTATGCCCTGCCTATGCATCGCCCCTAAATAAGCGGTGCAAAGTGATATATGAGCTTCCGCTCTTTTCTCTTGTTTTAAAAAGAATATGGGGGACACTAAAGGAGAGGAGTATATTAAGATCTCGTTCTTATAGTTAGTTCCTAACGAGTACATTTTCTGCAATTCACTGCTAACATTATGTTAAATGGGGATAAATATAGGAAAAATCTGAAGCGATTTGCCTCGAATCCAAAGCGACAACTGCTTTAAAGATAGAATATTATCTGTGGAATATTTTCATTTTTTGATCGGTTTAAAGCGATTTCGATATGCTTCCTATTTAAATTTGTATATGATATAAATTCTGATTAGTTTTATTGTAGTTTTTACTGTTATATGTTATGTAAAATTTTTACATGGATTTAAACTTAATCAACAACGTAATGAATTCCATTTTATGGCATTTTACGTGGTGTGCAAAACAGATTTGATAATAATAGCAATAACAGAGTAAAAAAAAAAAAAAATAAAAACTAAAGAGAAGTAAAGTTTATAACAAAATTCCAAAACATGTAAAAACGCAAAATATTTCGTGTATGTGGACAGAAATGTAAATTTTTGAAATTGTGTTTGATTTTTTTTTCCATTCCCTCTTCCAGCTAATGTTGCAGTTGTTGTCTACAGAGCGAACTGTATAATGAATGCATAACGAAACGTTGGTCATTACAACTAAAGCAACAATACGACATGCGCCCATGCTACTCGCGACTTGTGACATGAATTTATAGTACAGCGTGGTTGAAAAGGTACTTTAATCCTTTGCGTTGCTAATCTCCTTCTTTTTTTTTTTAACTAGCATTAACTCTTTAGTTATAATAAGAGTAAGAGTAAGAATTTAGAATAATATAATATCGACTTTAGATCGGATATATCAGTTTGTGTAAGAAACACATTTCCGACTTACAAACGAGATAGGGATGCGAAGGGTTAATAATAGAAGCGTGAAGTATATTTATTTTGTCAAAACGTTTGCAATGGTAAGAAGGAAGCATCCGAGACGCTACAAAGTACATATAACCTTGATCTGCATTCAATTCTAAATCGATTTAAGCATGTCCATCTGTCCGTCTATATAATGCCTGTTGTAAATATTCTCTTGATCGCAAAAGTGAAAGTATCCCCTTCAAAATTGCGAAACATTGGAAGTTGTTCCGCGCGGATGGGTCAAATCGGTCCCAGGGAACTCTGTCTATACTTAAGTTATTACGTATAGAGATAAGGAAAAGCTCGAATATTGTTAGAAAGATTCATATTTTGTGAAATTAAAGCCATGTTTAGGAATCTCTGTATTTTTATATTTACAATTTTTTAATTTTAAATTAAGTCAAAGGTCGTAATACCTGGAAATATTAATAATCTATGAAATTTTTTCCTTTGGAAAAATTCTATACAGCTTTGTGTAGCATTTAAATAAAAAGAAATGTTTATTTGTCTGGTCAGTCCTCTAAAGTGTACAACTGTCATCTATGAATGGTTTAGGGCAACCGTCCGTTGCCACTTGAAGAGCAACGGAGGCCTAAGCGGTAAGTTTACATGCCGTAGTTGAGCTAGCTAGCTTGTGAAATGTGAGAAGAGTTCTATAGCTTGCTCAAGTACGCTTCTAGGACGGTTACACAAAATTATTTGCCAGTACTTGCCCTTTACCGAATACCAAACGGACGAAATTCTAACTAACCCATCGGGGGCTTGCCTCAGGGTCTATTCTTGATCCACGCTGCC